AGTGCTTTGTAGGCTTCCAACACATGGGTGACTTTCTTTAGGCCAGACTATCTCAACCAGGGTTCCTCCAAAAGGTTGCTAAGGGTTCATTGAGCAATTTCTGACTCTTAGATAAATAACCAATGACAGCAATAAGCTTTTAAGCTATGTGTAAGGGAAGGGGGGGGGGAGCTCCCATTGGACAACCAGAGTAATGGACAGGGGCACTTTACTGATCACCAATGTAAGGGAGAACTTTTCCATTGACCATCGTAGTAGGTGGGCATTTCTCCACTAATCATAAATATAAGAAGCTACCAGTGTAATGAGGCCCTTCTATCTCTGACCACCAATGTAAGGAGCATTCTTCCCTTTGACCACAGTGTAATGGGGCCCTTCTCTTACTAACTCTCCCAAAGAACACCAATGTATGGGGATGCTTCTCTCACTGATCACCAATTAAAGAGGGCCATTCTTCGATGGCAACCAATGAAAGGTGGCCCTTCAACACTGACGGCCAATGTAAGGTGGCCCTTCAACACTGACGGCCAAAGTAAGGTGGCCCTTCAACACTGACCGCCAATGTAAGGTGGCCCTTCAACACTGACCGCCAATGTAAGGTGGCCCTTCAACACTGACCACCAATGTAAGGTGGCCCTTCAACACTGAGGTGTATTCAGATGAAAATTATCACAATTTTTTTGTTTTGTATTAAAATTTTAAAGCCGTCTGTGCCCGAGATGGGGAGATTCGCCCTCTCTAGTTTAGGGGAAATCTACCAATGGGGCACCTGTTCTGTTGACAACTGCCCACAAGGGGATGTTGTCTCAGTTTGGAGAGACTTCCTGCTGTGCCCCCAGGACAGGAACCGAAGGGAAATCTCCCTAATGGGGACAGAGATAATCATGTTGCAATAAAAATGTAAAGGAAAGCCTTTAACCTTTGATCCCAACCTGCACTGCTGAAGACGCTGCCATGTGATCTCAGGTAACGTGGAGGATTGGAGTACACGCGGAGCACTGGCCATCTTGGCCCAAACTAAAGCCTCTTAATCTGAGATCATGTGATTAATGAAATGTCATTATGTGATGGGACAAGTTCATTTGGCTGCAGCTGCCTTTCTCAGCCTTTGTTCCAAGGAACCCCGGGGCTCCTCCACAGGTTGATAAGGGTTCAACGAGCAATTAGCACTTTCTGCCTTTCAGGTAAATATGTACTGACACCAATTATCTTTTTAGATATCTGTAAGGGGGGCGATCTGCCCACTGAGCAGCAATGTCAGGAGTATTTGTAATGTGTATAGCATTGTGTAAAGGAGTATTCTCCCCTCTGACACCAGTGTAAAAAGGATCTTCACCCAATGACTGCCTGATGTCAAAATTCCTTCTCCAATGACCTCCAATGTAAGGGGGCACGTCTCCACTGACCTCCAATGTAAGGGGGCACGTCTCCACTGACCTCCAATGTAAGGGGGCACGTCTCCACTGACCTCCAATGTAAGGGGGAACGTCTCCACTGACCTCCAATGTAAGAGGCACATCAGCACT